AGTATATAATGTCTATAATTTACTTTCAGAAAACAACGTTAAAAAGCAATTAGAATTTGGAACCTTAGATTATGTCACCCTAGGTTGAGCCAAAAAACTTTTAAATATGTACTTGTGTCGAGAGAGGGGGAGAGGGAAGGAGGGGAAGAGAGGGAACACAAAGATGGTGAAGCATCAACAACGGCCGAACCTAGGTAGAGGTGCTCACTGTTAGACGCTTTCGGTTTTTCGGCTAATTTTGAAATTTTCATTGTAAAAATAAGTCAGGGGATTGCAATCTATGGTTACTACTGCCCGTTTCTGTGAAACTTAGCACAGGCTTCTGCCTTAGCAAGTTCAGGATGCTCACGTGTTTATTCGGGGGGAAGGGTTAAGTAGTGGGTGAGCCAGGAGCTCACGTGGGTCTCCCAAGGTGTGTGTGCAGAAGCCTGAGACAGTCCTGGGCTGACCCAGAAGAGCGCCTGGGACGGGCTCACGGTAGCGAGCAAAAGCAGACACGGTCCCGGCTCTGGGGCTCCCAGTCTGTATGGAAAGCAGGCAGGTATCAAAGAATCACAGACTGCAGGCACGGACAGGGGAAAGGGCCATTCTGTAAACTCTCGGGCCAGGGCTGGTGCACCTGCAAGACAAACGCTACGTCTCAGGACCCCTGTGGGGACTCAATCAGGTGGTGCGAGCCCCGTGCTTAGCTGGGGGAACTCAAGGGCTTACCACATATTACTTCACTCTCTTATTCTTTCATAGAGTAGGGATTACCGGTTTCAATTTGCAAAACAACTTTAGATAATGTTTCTCCAAAGAGTACAAGGTCATGTGGAACACCGTGGGGGCCCTTTTTATAAAAACGGGATGGCCAGGTGAAGAGATGAAGCAGTCTTTTAGGGGTTCCTCCCCCTCATTCACCACTGCTCTCAGCTTCACGCCACATTCAGGACATCACGACGCCAGCATCGGTCACACCGTGTGCCACAGTCCCTTCTTGTCAGCTGCAACCCATTCGTACATCCCACTTTCAGTATGTCCACTGTGTGGAGCCAGTATTCGTTCCATGCAGCCATCATGTACACAAATTCGAAAAATGACGAATTCCTAGGTCATATTCTAAAACCTCAAAATGATTCTTCATTTAAGCAATCACAGCACCAGACCACATTTCCCCCCAGATCCTCAGTTAACGTTCCAGTCTCAAATGCATTTTAAAGACAGGATAGATGGAAAAATTCTATCTTGGTATTATTAATATGACTCCAAAGTTCTACAGAGTCCTGCGTGATTGATCAACTTCTCTCAGAAAATCTCTTCGGTTGTAACATTTCATCTCATTAATGAGCTGGTACAGGGGTTAAATCGGTAAGGTACCACCACAAGCGTTTAAATAAAAACACGAAATACAGCAAACTGTCCTGGTGTGGGTGAATTCTATGTCAACAGAAGAACTTGGCTGGCTGAGCTCTACTTCCCCATGACTTCCCTCCCATAAAACAGAGCACTAACATCATAATTCAGCAGGGATGCGTATGTACACACCCACACGTATCCGATCCCATACACTTTATGAACAGGTTTAATTCGGCAAGTATTAAGAAGGTGCCACTTACAACCCCATCTGTGCTAGGTGTTGTAAGAGGACACAAAAGCGGCCGGGAGAGAGGAGAGTAATTACGTGTGCACAAATAACGACAAAACCACTATCCTTGGTGCTAAGGATCTCTGCCAGAAGGGACACCCTTCTGTCGCTGTGGCCCCGGCCTGAAACATATTTTCAGTTCCCTCTCCCTAGCCTGCAGACCCCACGCACTTCAGCTGGGCTCCTGTGTGTGGAACTAGCCCAGCAGCCTTCCACAAGACATAACTAGCTTCTGAGTGCCCAGCCTCACCGAGACTATCACACGGCTGGTCTTTCACAGATCGTTTTTTTTTCTCAGTAAGCAACGAGCCAGTATTGAGGTACTCTCTCATTCAACGAGCATCACTGAAAGCCTTCATGATGAAAACACAATTTGAAGAAAACATGAAGAATATAGTATTTAAAATTATGAAATACACCTGCTAAACAGTAGCCTTAGACTAGAAATAAGGGGATGTGGGTGCAGTTCCCATTATGCAAAGTAACCTCCTATGTTAGGTGGGTAGGATCCTTAACCTCTCTGGGCCTTGCTTCTGCCAGTAAAAGGAAACACTGGGCTCAACTTTTCGTCTTCCACTGATGCAACGCTAAAAGGGTCAGTGAACTTAGTTCCTCCAGGGTCAGGGACGGCACATGTCCTTGGCATTCAGTGGCTTAAGACTTCCTATAATTTTGCATTTTATTCCATAATGGGCTTAGCAAAATATCCTCCTGCCTATGCACTTGGGCTGAATCGCCTCTGCGGCTAAGAACCTCTGATGCACCACTGATTAGCCCTAAGATACCTTCCAGACGGAACATTCCAAGGCCCTATTAATTATGGGCTGCTGATAGCTTCGTTCGGAAACTCCAAATCACTGGACACCTTAGTGTGCTAAATGAAAACCTTGCGTGTTTCCAGGAGAACACCGACTCCTCAGAATTCTACCATTTTATAAAAACGGCAGGAGGAAGCATGGTTCTAATTAAAGGGTAAGCGGAATTTAACACAAATATGCTTATACCACACTTGGGCTCCAAGAGCAGAGCATACACACATGACTCCAACAATTACCTAAGTTTGTTTCTCACACGCTTTCTAGTGACTCTGGCAGTCTGCTCAAATCAATTAAAGGAATAGTGGTAATTTACAAACAGTGATCTATAATATTTAGTTTAAGTCATGGGACAAAATGAACCCGTTCTCCAAACTATCTTCCTCAGACCTAAAATATACATTCCAGTCTCATCTGCTTTTTTTGTTTTTCCATACAACTTACAAGTGATTAAAAAAAAAATTCAAAGAATATGTACAAGTTAAAAAACAAGTCAATGAAGAGCCTGCTGCCTTTATTTCTTAGCGTAATTCTTTACAGTATCAGCACCTCACAGTGTGAGGTGAGGGGACTTACAGAAACATAATGTCAACCACAGAAATAAACGGAGAACGTGGAAGCTACCTATTTTTAATATATATTATATATTATTAATATATATGTGAAATCTGGGGCGTTTGGGTGGCTCAGTTGGTTAGGAGTCCAACTCTTGATTTTGGTTCAGGTCATTATCTCACGGTTGTGAGATGGAGCCCCACGTCAGGCTCACACTGGGCATAGAGCCTGCTTAAGATTCTCTCTCTGCCCCTCCATCTCTCAAAAAAAATTTTTTTAAATATATGCAATATTTAAGGTCTCATTCAGTTCTTACAATGACTTATGCGATTTGCCTCTTAATTTGAGCTATGTATGACCTTAAGACTAGTGGTTAAGTTAAGAAATGGCTTAAAAAGTGTCTATACCTAGGGGCATCTGGCTGACTCAGTCGGAAAAGCATGTGACTCTTGATTTCCGGGTACTGAGTTCAAGTCCCATGTGTTGGGTGTGGAGATTAAACAAACAAACGAGTCTCCAGGGGAGCCTTGGGTGGCTCAGTCAGTTAAGCATCTGACACTTGATTTCGGCTCAGGTCGTGACCTCACAGTTTGTGAGATCTATCGCCAGGTCAGGCTCTGCACCAACAGTGCGGAGCCTGCATGGGATTCTCTCTCTGCCCCTCCTCTGCTCTCTCTCAAAATAAATAAGCAAACATTAAAAAAAAAAAAAAAAAAAAAAAAAAAAAAAAAAAAAAAAAAAAAAAAAAGGTCTCCATACACAATGAAAATAAATAAACATTTAGAAAAAGTCTCCACATGTAATGAAACAGAAAATAGGGAGACTGCCTAGACATAGTTAAGTAAAAGCTGAAACAATCCTTGTGGCACCATCTTCTCGGAAGGGAATGTGACCCTCTGTCATTAAAAAGCCTTAAAGTTGTCCATATCCTATGTATAACCCTTTAACCATGTAATTCCACTTCCAGAAACGTATCCCAATTCATCAGAAAACACTACATATTTACTTATAACAGCAACAACCTGGACTTAATGGTGAAGTATTTTACAAGCCTTCCAAACAATGGGCTGCTACACACATAGACATTAAAAACCATCTTTTCAAAGAATGC